ACCTAGTTGTTTCATTTTTCAAACTATTTTATTAAAAGTTAATAATGTCCCAATTGATAACATGGCATATAGGATAAAACTCTGAATTAGTAAGACTGCATTTTAAACAAACCTGGAATTCAGATGTCCAATAAAGTAAGTATTATACTTCAAGATAGTCAAAATGCTGGAGAAATTTTGTACATCCTCTCAATGTTGCTGCCATCATTTGAAATATTTTTTCCAATTCCTCTTTTGGAATTATTTTTTATTCGCTCTAGGTAAGCACTGTAACACATTCTTTTAAGAATACTATATTAGTTTTTACATCCACGGGTGTAAAAAGGGACTGGGACTTCAATGTATCTTTGAGGGGGGGATATAATTCCATCCTTAAAAAGTATGAAGTCTGGAATCAGACTGACTGAGTTTGAATCTTTGTAGGTCTGTGACTTTGGAAATCTTATTCTCTCTGGGCCACAGTTTCCCCGACTGAAAAATAAGGGTAATAAAAATACCTGTCTTTTAAAGTTTTTATGGAGATTAAATGAGGTAATATTTGTGTATTTATTTAATGAATATTTATGGATCACCTACTTTATGTCAGACCCTGATCTAGGTCCTGGAAGAATAATAGTGAATAATACAAACTCCCTGGCATCTGTAAATTACATCCTATTGACTCAATAAAAAAGCTATACTATATCATATCATACACTATATACAAAGCACTTAGGACAGTGCCTGTCCCCTAGAAAGCACTCAACAAATGTTCTTTTCCTTCAAGATCTAGGTCATCTTGTGGATCCATCCCCCTTTCCCACATATTTACCCCTTAATTTATTAAAATGTTTATCGAACACTTACTTCATATTTACTAAGTCTAAGACTAGGTACTGGTATGCAAAACATAGGCTTATACAGGGAAACAACCAATACACAAGAAGCAGGTAATTACAAAATCTGAACTGTGAAAGAAATCAGTGTGCATTTCAGCAATCAGTAACATGAAGACTAATTTTTAAATATTTATAATTTTTTTCTTTTTTTTTAGAGAGAAAGGGTCTTACCATGTCACCCAGGCTGGTTTTAAACTCCTGGGCTCAAGCAATCCTCCCGCCTTAGCCCCTCAAGTGGCTGGAACTACAGGCTCATGCCACCATGCACCCAGTTCTTCTAATGTTTTTTTAATTGTATTGTTTGTATAATACTCAGGATGCTTTGTATTTTAGTACTTGAAAATATTTCTGAATGGTAGAAATATTTTTTCAGGCAGTTATAACTACAAGATAGCTTCAATAACTCTTCATTCACATGTTTATAGTGGATTTGTCCTCACAGAGGATGTTTCCAGAAATATTTCATCAACTGTGAAGGCGAAAGCACTCATTTGGACAAGTAGTAGCAGGTGTACTTGTCAAAGAGGCATTAAAAGTAGTAGTTTAGAATATGGACTCTGGAATCAGACTTCCTGGTTTCCTAGTCCGGCTTTTTGCCACCTCCAACTTGTGTGCCCTTGTCAAGTTACTTACCTCCCTTTGTCTCCTCAGATGATTTACCCTCATCACAGTAAGCACTATATGAGTATTTGTGAAATGAAAACAAGAGAAATGAATCAGGCACATTGCTCTATATGCTTAGTTTGAACTGTTTTAAAAAAACACTATCCATTACTAGAAGAAACTAAAGTGTTGTAAGAATGTAAATTTTACTTACAACTCCAGCAAGTATAGGTTTTGGCATTAGAAAGTAGAAT